CACGAAACGCGCCCCGGTTTCACTTGCCCCCGGTCCCTCGAACGGCGTTGTAGGCTGAGCCAGATGCTGGCAACCCTGATATCTCCCACCGCAGCCCCTGTCCGACAAATCTCACACCTGTCCGCCATCCGAACACGGCATGCTTGCACCGAAGCTTTGGACCAGTCGGCGCCTGCCGAGTGTGACGCTCCCCTTGGCCGCGTTCAGTCGAGCGCGAGGAACCCCGCCTCGCGCCAAAAGCTGCCGAACTGCCGCCCATCAGCCCACCGCCGCCGGCCATGACCGACCGCGGGCAGCCCCACCCCCACCACCCACCCGGCCCTCCCTTGGTCGCGATGGACGACCGTGGGATCGGCATGGCGCTGCCGTCACAGCAGCAGACGCCGCCGTCAACGCCAGCGGCGGAGCCGACGGCCCTGGCGGCGAGGCAGGCGATCTTGATGCCGGGGCCATCGATCGATCGCCAACCGGGGATAATGGTTCACGTGGCTGTGGAAGGGGGAGAGGCGAGTGGGATGGCGTGGGACGGGGTCGTGGGGGCTGGATCGCCGTCATTGGAGGCTGGGCAAGTTCTGCTGCTGGCTTCGCCCGGGCTGACCACCCTCCCGGTGCCGCCGCCTGCGCCGGAGGGAATGCGGGGCCCAGTGGACGGTTTGGCCGTGGGCACCCCTGGTCTGAGCCGTGGAATCGTCTACGAGGGCTCTGGACTGGGGCGGTGAGGGGTTGGCGGGAGACATTGTGTTTGGTAGTGGATGCGTTGATTTGGAAGGGGGGGGAGGGCGTTTGTTTCTGAGGACGGGCGGGTCGTTGCCGTTGTGTTTGGCGGGGTTGAGGGGATTTTCGGCGTTGCCATGGGTCGTGTCCCCTCTGTTGTGCCCCCGGCCTGCGTGTGCACTGCGGTCGCGATACAACATGCGTTCGCGCCGAACTCTGGCCCACCTGAAGGCGGGCTTTGCTGCTGCGGGCGGATGGCTTTGAAACGAGTCGCCCTGATCGTCGTCGGGAGTACCGGTCTGCCCTCCAGCGCCCTGGAACCGCGGGAGGGCAGTCCGCCGCGTTGAGACATCAAGACCAAATTTTCCATGTCTTTTTGTCTCTTGGGTTGTGCTGGATCACGGCGCGAACGACACACCCAGCCTCGGCCCGCCAAGGGCAAGGGGAGAGTTCCACGCAACAGGACCTTTGGAAAGAGAACGGCCTCTGATGATCCGCTTCTTTGCCTCGCGCAGCGTTGATTCTTCGGAGGTTGAGGGCAGCGAGCCCGGCGGTGCGGGCGCCACGCGCCGCGCTGGCGGGCCGCCCGGCGGCGCCAGGCGTCGGGCGGCCTCCTGGCACGCGGGGCTGCGGCAGGAGCCGGGCAGGGACGAGAGGCGGCGGGAGCGCAACCGCCGCGCGCAGAGGGTGTTCCGCGAGCGCCAGAGGAAGAGGATAGCGGAGCTGGAGAGCGACGTGAGGGGGATGCGGGAGGCGGTGAGGGCCCGCGGGGGGGCCGTACGGGGCCGCGGTTGATGGGGCGTCGGGGGGCCGTCATGGTGCAGCGGGGCGTGTTGTCAGGGGCAGGGGTGGGCAAGGCATTACATTGATGGGGCTGACCACCTCTGTTGTAGAGCCGCTGCGGGCGTGACAATGGATCAGCATAGAGGGGCGTGAACGACCCTTCGACCGGCGCGGAACGCCTGTCCTTGTCGCGTTTGGCTGACTAATCGACAGCATAGAGGTGGTGGCCCTCGTCCGGCGTCGGCGAGTTCAGTGCGAACTTCGCAGCGAGAAGTGTACGCCGAAGATTGAGGCCAGCCTATGACTTGCTGCGATGGCTGCGATTTCAATCTCATGGAAGGTTTGGGTCAAGGGCGGATGCCCTGAGCTTTGTAGGCACAGGGTTGAGTCAGCAGCGAATTTGCGCTAGCATTCGATCGCATCGCAGCCAATTCCTTGAAGTTGCCGCTGGCTTTAGGTATGTGCCGGAACTGGAGACGCGTTGCTTTCAATTCGCGTGCTTTCCTGTTCTAGGAGGAATTACAGATGTCCTAATCATTTGCACAGCTGCGCTATTGCTCGCCGTGGGAAAGCGTCCCAAGGTGCTGCTAGGGATGGAGGGTCTGCTTTGTGCAATGCATTTGATTTCCTTTCGCTGGAACGAATGGGCTCATCGCAGCCTGTGTCCGCACCAGTGAAGCCCTCGCTGAAGGGACGAATTGCGCACGCTCTTTCTATCAGAGGTTAGTCATATGGACAAAGGTCGCGATGTGCGCGCCTTCGGTCCCTTGCCTTCTCGGTATACGATGAACGTGTGTGCGGTGATCGAAGCCCACAAAAGAGCTTGCAAATGCAACGATCAGCGATACTTGGGAACTGAAAGTATGGTTGAGTTTGCACTCGCCACCATCTGCAGACATCTGGGAAATTCAAAAAGCACAGGCGATATTTCAGCGCAACGGTGGCCTTTGCAATTCCCATTCTACCGCAAGTTTGCCGATCAGTTGCCAGCGCCGCTTCCCTCGCTTCTTTGGCTTTGCTCAAATTGTCGTGCTCTTTCTTCTTCCAGGTGGTTGCCCTAGAGATCAGGAACGCTGAGCTGCGGAGGCAGACTGAGATATTGAATGATAGCACGGAGAGCAGGCGTGAGGCCTGACTATTAGAAGCCCGCGGGGGGTGCCCCAGGCGCAAGGTAAGGAAAAAAACTTCATGACCATTCATTGTTGAACGAATGAATGTACATTCAGTGTTACTTGTAAGAATGACATGTATCCTTACAAGCAACATGGCGGAACGCCATGAACGTGTCGCGCTTACTCTGCATTATGAAAAATCCATCGCGAACTGCATTATTTACGATCGGAGTTCGCCCCTATAGGGTAGTTGAGTAGCTACTCACATGACAGGAGCGGCCGTGTCCGCCGCTGAAACCTGGCTCAAGAAAACGAATATCACTGGTAAAAAATCGACCGAAGTACATGGTCCTGAAATTCGTGTACCGTGTTACACGTATCAAAATGGTGTAAAAATCGTGTGAACATCGTGTACCGATCGTGTAAATACACATTTGCCGCCGGTACACTGTTGAAATCGTGCAAAACCGTGTGCTTTGTCGTGATTGTCCATGGTGGTAAGGTGAACCACTTTCGTGTACTACACAGGGTTGAAAACTACACGATTTTAGCAATCGTGTAAAACCGTGCTCTGAAGCACCCGATTTGTACATGATTTCAACACGATTTTGTACAATTTTACACCGTGTAAAATGGTCGATTTCTTACCAGTGTACGTTTGCAAGCAACTCCTTTCTGTACAAGTGCGTGGAACAAGCTGCTGTTGTGTACCAATCCCCATGTCCACGTTACCCAATGTACATACGAACATTAGGATGCGGTGGGTCTTCTGCCACATTTTGGTGCGCGATTTCAGCGATTGAACAACAATTGAAGGCGAGAAAATGCAAGAAACAAGGAGTCCTTTGTTTCTTCCGAAGTAAAAATAGGCCATCAATGTACATCAATTGGCAATGAGCAATCGAATATGAAGCTGAGCTGCGTCAGCGAAGTTTAACTCCAGAGACTAACGGCTGATATGTGTGGCCACTCCCCTGAGGTGGTAGCGGTGCGGTGACGGCCAGCAGCGATCCCGCACATCGAAACGAGGACTATAAGATTGATGAATTCAAGAGCGATAGAGCCACGGACTAGAAGCACGTGGGCACAGTGGGTGGAGTGAGTGTTGAGACGTGTTTTGCATACTGGAAACGGGTCGTATATTGGTGTGCGCGTGCGCGCCATTTGGTGGGACCTGTTGATTAAATACGAGCCGGGAACATTGCAGTGCATCAAAAGGAGAGAAGATGATCATTTAAAGTTGGGGAAGAGGGAGAGGATTTTCTTTTTGTTCCATGCTGGCATGGTGGCGACGGCCTCGCGTGGTGCGTGTTTTACTGAGCGCCAAGGCTGCCTCACTACAGTGAGGCAGGGTGCAGGGCTCCCTGTTACGTTTTGTTGAACTCTTCTCTTTGTGAGCCAGTCCGTGATGGTTTGGCGAAGAAGTGTGGCACAGTGCCGATCCGCACACAGAGAGCAGGACGAAGTAATGTCTTCCCGCAACGCCCTGTGTCCATGGACATGAGCGACCAGGGGCGGACGGCAATGGGTACCTCAGGTGCAGGGTCCAGGGCCGCCGCGGTTGACAGAGGCTCAATTAGGGAGAACGATGTTTTGAGTTATCGGATTGATGAGGCGGCTGGGAAGCCGTCGATTAGGGTCGATGCTATCAAACGCAGTGCAGACCAAAATGCGGCACTGAGCGTTTTGGGGCGGCGGACAAGCAGCGCGCTCGCCCAACGTGGCGTGATTTTCAGTGCGCGGCGATGTTCGGCTGAAGGCAGCAGCGAGGTGCAATGCGTAGAAGAAGGGCCCAGTGTGGAGGAACGATCCCCGCGGCGGGGATGCAGATGAACGTCCAAGCGGAAAGTTATATGCACGGGAATGGACGGGGCGAACGAGGAGGGCCGAAGCCCTGCATTGGTCATGAGAGGCCGCACCAGCGGCTTGTTGCCAGTGACCGCGGGTGGGGAGGGAGGATGTCAGCATAGAGGCAGGTTTTCATCGTGGACGTGCACGAGCCACCAGCTGGATTTGCCAAAAAGTAATCATCCAGCGACAGCGACGGCGGCAAGCGACAGTTATTCGGATTCCCAGAGGACTTGTTCAAAGGTTGAGTTGGTGTTGCGAGGACTCGAGCAAGAGCGTATCCATGGGAATGCTTGTCGCGAGGGTCCAACTTCAGGACCACTGGCACAGTGCGCAACGGGGAAGCTGCGAAATGAATGGTGTCTTGGCCGATGGGGAAGCTTTGGTTGTGCTGGAAACTTCCAGAAATGTTGTAATCCCATGCATAATTCTACTCTTTCCTATACAAAACGAATACCCGATCTTTGTGCATGATCTCCCGCTAATTTGTCTACTCCGTCCAGATCCCTGTCGTTTTCTGCGGCAGTCGCCAGCGAGTTGCAATCAAGATGCTTCCTCCCTTCGCCGTCTCTGCGGCCAGATTTTCAGCTTGGGCACAATCCCTCCGACATCAGATTTGTACCTCTGGTAATCCTCACCAAACTCTTCAATCATCATCTGCTCCTCTTTCGGGATTCGTACGAACAAAAGCGCCGCCATGGCTCCCAACACTGCCACAACACCAATAACAATTAATGCGCGTTTGGGCCACTGGCCAGCGTTCGTCACGCTGCAACGGCGCTCCAGAAGCAGCGGCACGGGAACATTGTCGCCGCGCCCAATACACGTCAGGGCAGCGACGCTTGGGGTTCAACTGCATGCACCACTTATTTGTCACATTCCCTCCCTTCCGCCAAGCTGGTGAATTTGGGCAGTGGATGCAAGTGCAGTGTGATGTGCTCGAAGCACAGTTGTGCTCACCAAACTGTCCGCAAGATAGGCGTTACCCCAGCGAACCAACAACTGAAAGAAACACAGAGAACCCCCCTGGCATCAAAAGAAGTGACAAGGAGGGCTGGAATGGCAGTCCACGAAGATAAACGGTAATGAACGACTGCTGCTAGACTGGATGAGCACTAGTGGTGAAACTGTCACATAAGCAAGGTACTCATAACCATAGGCTGCAAAGTCCACAAATTACTACATAGAATGATGACAAACGATTTTTACTGATCAGGATCAAGCAGCAAGCATGCACAAGGCGCCCACCCTCTGAGGATCTTTGCTCTGGCAATATAGAGTTCGAGGACGCTACTCCAAGGCGAGGCAAGCAGATACCGAGTGGAATCAGCATTGCGGCAGCCTAGGCTTTCCAGGCAGTGCCGATATACAGGTTTACATTCATCTTTCGGAACCTTCTATATCGCGTCCATTCAGGTGACAACTCGATTGTAAGGTTGGCCGCAAGGCTAATCATCGACTGAAGTGCAATGGAGCGCCAAATCTCTAATAGGGGAAAGTGTCATGCCATTTGCATCTCCCTATCCTGAGCAAGGCTTTGAGTTCCCATACACGTTGTGGGACAGGGCAGAGAGTTTTGGAGTTCATCGGGATGATTGCACAAGAATGGGTCCCATGGAGGGGAAGAACAGTTCAACACAGGAAGGCCCACCTCCTGCATTTACAACCCAGTTTGGCGCCAGGATCCCAATTCCTGCACACAGCAGGAGTCCGGACGCGTACATCGGATGGCGTACGTGAGCATAGACGCCTGATTTCATCAGCTTGTGCTGCTCACGGAGCTGCAGGAGAACAGAAAGCGAAAAGCTCAAATCATTTCATGACATCAGGTGTTCCACAGCTCCAGCTAGTTGAGCACATGCTGCCTCTTGGCATGTTCTATTTTGTCTCTGTGCCTCTATTCTGTCTCAATTTGTGTGCTAGCCCTGTTGCACCTTGAGACATCTGCACCCTCCCATGCAGTACAGAAAGTTGTTTTACACAGTGCTTGCTCAGGGCGGATGCGCATTTTGCACAACCTGGCTTTCGGTCAGGGCATGTGTGCCACATCAGTACACCTGCGTGCTCTGGACGAGGTTGATGCCATGCACTCACAGTACATAACCTCACAGATGCAGTACTTGCAAGGCACTGTGCACACAAGGGCTCTTTCAGCACTTCTCAAACAGTCACAAAGCAAAGGGTGGTGAATAAAATCAGGGAAATGCTTCACTGTGTGGATCTGAGAATCGCCCCTGAGCCATTCAGTAGTAGGTCCAGGGCTGCTGGGGATAGGTCATGACAGCCTCGAAACGCGAAAATCCAACTTTTGGTTTTGGATGTCGTGATGCATATATGCTGGGAAAGAGCCCAATCCACAAGGAAACCTCTGGCACAAGTCCTGCAGATCGGGAAGCAGCGAAATTGAGAAACATGCTGTTGCTCACAAGCACTTCAGGTTTGTGAATGCACCAACCTGAGAGCACTAGTGGTGCACTGGTGGTTCAAAGCACTGATGTACAAACGTCTGATGCTTGCACCTGTGGACTGGGATTCAAAATTGATTGGGCAGGAGCTGATCAGCCAGCCAGAATGCAGTTTGGAGAGACTGCCTCAGCTGTTAACAAACAGCTGGTAAATAGACAACAAGGATTTAAACATTGCATGTCATCATCTTGTGGATTGGGGGCATGTTTGGTACATGAAAGTCTTCCAAGGCAGAGTTCCAGACCCTACAAATACAGTACTGTGACAAAATGACTCAACAGTCATTTGAAGTGCAAGAAGCGATTCCCCTTGCCTGACGATCATAATACAGGCTCAAGCTGCATTGCTGTTCGCCTTCTTAAATGCCCAGTGCCCAATGCTAGCTGCTAAGATTTCATGAGGGCTCAAGGGAGAGTATCGGCAGGGTGTATACTGCACATCGGAGAACAGCAGTGCTGGCCAACACAAATAAGGACATCCTTTGGCAACCCCACCTGCAAACTGACGGACCACAGACTTCCGAGATCAGAATGGGAGCGAGCAAACAGCCACAAAGCCAACGCAGCTGTCAGGCCTCCGGCTGCAGTCGCCCAGACTCTTGCACCAGGGGAGGCGTAGTTGGCAAAATCCAACACTCTGGTGAGGATGTATATGCTGGGGATTCCTAAGACACCACCATACCACAAAGGCACAACAGCACACTCCAGTCCAGTGACTCGGCTCTTCACGATCTTTGGAGCAACCTGCAGGGGCATGCAAGCAAGGTGGGGTTCGAATCTGACTGTCCTGGGCTTACAAGCAGCAGCAGCAGCAACGTTGTTGCCAGCAAAGCCATAGGTGTGGTGGGGCAGGATGGAGGATCAGGGTTTGTGGTCGCAAGGCTTCCGAATGGTGCTGCTGGAAGGACAATAAAGTGCAGGCAGCGCATGGAAGTACGCAGAAGTGCAAGGTACAACAATAGGAGTAGAACTTAGCAAGGTGCTTGGCTTGTGTAAATCCAAGAAACTGGGACACTCAACAGTCAAGGTGCTATCCTCGTGGAACAAAAGAACTGCATGCTTTTGCCACCTCATAAGACAGTGCAGGACCAATCACGGCCTACATGCTGGCTAGAAAGTGGCTCCAGTGCATTGAGCACGTTGTGTTCCTTGTTGCGCTGTACCAAATTTTGCCTTGTCTTGCCTTAAGGGTGCAGGGATATTGATACTTGACCAGCGGAGACACGTACGTCAAAAGATTCCCCTTGTCAGCGTGTTCTTGAGACTTTCCCTCTCGGGTTCCAAATGCTGTAGAGATGGGCAGTAGAAATCCATGAGCTCAACAAGTTAAGACAGCAAACGGTAAGGAAGGGTTGTCTTACAAACGCCGCATAGATGGTCGACACCACAAGGCCAACGAGGAGCGTGCACGTTGCAGATGACTATGGGCGAAAGGGCATCCAAAATGTTTGTTCTTCCGTCTGCCTATTTGCGGACCCTGCCCCGCAGAACACGCTGCAGCTTAAACCGAGATCGAAAAGGCCCGATTCATCCAAGAACGACCATTAGCGTGACCCGTTTCAGGTCCCTGCCAGGAGGAAGGGAAAAGTGCAAACGACAAAAGGGGCTCGCGCTTCAGACAAGGGGTCTGTGATCGCACCAACGCCAGTGCAACAATCCGCCCCCGTTTGAAGCGACAGCTGGACGGCCGCGCCCAGCGTCGCCCAAAGACGATTCCTCCAGGGCCCATCTCGCGGGCAGCGAAACGTCCCAAAATATAATGCACCAGCTTCTCTCCAGCTTCAACCCCTTTCAAAACAAACGCGCGCGCCTTCCCCAAATCCCCACGCTTTGATTGCCTTGCTCTAAGCGCCACTTTGCGTCGCGCCTGCCACTTCCGCCGCACCCCGCGGCCGCCACGCCGTCCTCCTCACCACGGAAACTAGTCTCGCAAATGTAAGCCAGGCTCCAGAAAAAAGTCTCGCGAGAATTCCTGCCCAGGGTTGGCGGCGCGCCGTGCATCGACGCGCTGCGCATTCTCCCCCTTGTCGACATCGCCATTTTCACCGCCTCCGCCCAAGCCACCCCATCCGGCAGGGGGGGGACGAGGCATCTGTTCTCTCCCCTGGGGGCAATGCCTCCCGACCAGCAAGAACCGCGCCGCACTTCACATCGATGAACAAAGCAGCGCGACATGCCCTACAACGGTTCGTTTCCGACGGACACTCTTCGGCGGCCTCACCGGAGCCAGCCTCCGCCTGAAGTGCCTCCTGATAAGCAGCGACGTCCCCAAGGCCGTCCCCAGCGCCAGCGACGAGGGGTCCGTCTTAACGGAGAGGACGCGCCCCGCGGACTCCATCGCCGTCCCGCTTCAACGCCGGGGGCTCTCGGCTCGTGGGAGGGGCGACGACACCGAACACGAGAGACAGGGCGCGCGGTTGGTAGTTAAGGTCGGTCTTGGGCGTACTGCGGTTGGTGTGCGCATGGGGCGGGCGCAACTTACACCCCAACACCTTGGCATCACGATCATGAATTCTTGGATAACAAGGCAGGGAGGTACCCGTAAGCTTCCTGTTTTCCCGGAAGCCTTGGCACTCACCGCCACTGACGGAACATTCCGCCCCAAGGCACATCCCCAAACTGAACGAGATGGACCGTACGTGCCTGCGCTGAGCGTGGCTCGCTCCATTCGAGCCCGGAGTACCGGAGGACGAGTGTACCGAGTTTTCTTGACACGGGTACTTTTTGAGGGGCGCGATTGGCCGTCATGTACTGCTGTCGAAACTGCGCGGAACTTGCTTGCGGGCAGGGTGGCAGTACCTTGGGCGAGATGATGGCACGTCACTGCCGTCTTGTACTGCGGCGTATCGGACGTCGCGAATGGCACCCACAACACGGCGGCGGCGCCCCCGGTGGGCGGTACAGGTCGCGGTGGCGCCCGACGGTCTCTCAGCCGCGCCCAATGTCGGTGACTTGAGGTGCTTATGCAGCGCGGTGGTGGGCAATGCTGGGATTCCCCAACTGATGAGAAGGGCATCCTCTGCCTCGGAAGGCCGAGCAGCTTCGGCAGCGGGTGGGGATTCTGCGCTTTCTGAGTTGGAAGCCCTGGAACGTTACTGGCCGCCCTGCTAAAACCCGCACAGCTCATGTGCTGGGAGTAAGATGTCGACAAAGAGGAAACATGTGGCACAAGACGGGTGCCCTTTTTGTGCGGCATGCTTGCTTTCGACTACGTTGAACCTGACAACAGAGGAAGCTCACTCTATCTCAACACACATTCGGCGCCCTTGCGGGCAATGCATGACATCCATGTTGACATTACAAACTTCGGCATCTTCGCAGGCCCGTACTTCCTTTCCCCGTAAGGGAACCACCATGCTCGTGAGCTTGCGCTTTCTATATGCAGATGAGAGAACAGCTGCAACGAGTGGCCTGACAAATGCGCTCAGTGACCATTAGGTGTGCCCAATTCAGCTGCAGATGCGAGCATTACAAGCATCCTTGCATTGTATCGGAGAGGATGCTCCTCAACAACTCGCTTCGCAAGCCGAAGGCGAAAAAGTCGAGGGTTGTGTCTGTGGCTTTGAGCAGATTGGCTGGCAACGGATGACATACCGCTGCGATCACTTGTGATGGGTCCAAGGTTGTAGAGGAACATAGAGGATGGCAGTTCTTGCAGTCAGCGATGGAACAGGGCGCGCTTCATTTTCGATTGCCGCCCAGAAGCATCTGCAAAATCAAGGTCATGGTGATGCGCCAGCAGCGACTGCTTATCAGAAATATGCCATGCGCAAGGCACCCCGCGACCAAGGAGAGAAATTGCGGCTGATTTCTGTGCTGTACATCAACAGAAACTACACAATTGACATAGAATCTTTCCGCCTTAGACCATTGTTCAGTTGTTGAAAATGTGGAACAACTGCGCAATCCGTGCTGACTGGTGACCAACTCTTATAATTCAACTGTGTACTTGCCGCAATTGTCCCCAGTCCCAACACATGGCGTGGAAGCTACCTGAGGCATGAGACGGGCGCACCGCGCCGAGCTGTGCAAGGACCAGCGAACAGGAGGACCAGCGTGCACAGATTCAAAACACAGTCCATGGACCCTTTGCCTCTGGAGCATGCGCAGCTGTTCTGGCGGGTCCATGGGTTGACTACTGCGCGCTGCTCAAGTGATGCAATCTACGAGATAGATGCATCCATGCGCTGAGTTGCCAGGTGGCGAATGTCAGGATCTCGTCGTATTCATACCACAAGATCCTGAAGTTGGGCGCCACGTGGGGCGGGAGCGCACCCCCAACACTAACTGAGTTACTGAGTTACTGAGTTACAACACTAACTGAGTTCTACAACTCCAACACCAACAGCCTCCTTCCAAACCGCAGCGCCATCAGTTACTACGTTATTTCAATCCTCCATCTGCTGGTATGGAAATGGATCGCATCAGTCCGTACTCTCAACCGACCGCGGCGCCGCACGCAGGGGCCCCAAAACCTACAACAACAAACGCCCACACCCCCCCACACCAAACCCGGCCCGTAATCCCTTGACATTGCGCCTGTGACGTTAAATGGGGCGGCCGCTTCTCCGCCCGCCGCTCGGCGTACTGTAGCCCGTCCTGCGGTACGCCAGTACACCTGCGGTACAGCGCCCGCGAGACACCACCAGCAGAACCGTCTCGGCCGCAGCGCACTCGCACCCCCCCCCAAGAAAACACTTTTAAGGGCGGCATCGCCAGTGAGTCGCCAGCCCGCCCGGCTGTTTGCGCCGCGCTCCGAAGACGACTCGACCTTTTTTCAACATGTCCTTCGCGCCTGACCAGGCGCCATCGACCCAGCCACCGGTTGGCGACGCGCCTGCGGCGGTGATAATCGTGGCGCCCGTGGCGCCCGTGGCGCCCGCGGCCTTCAACGTGCTGCCCGTGGGGGCCGTCGCCAGCGAGGTGGCGGTCCTGGGGCTGGACGCCCAGCCCATGGCGGTCGACCCGCGCCTTGTGCCAAGGTGGGCGCGCCTTCAGAGAAATTTGACCCCACGGGCCCCGTTCGGCGACGTAGACCTCGCGACTGGCGCCCAAACTTTGGGCTCAGGCTGACGCGAACAAAGTCGATGTGATGCTTCCGATCGGCATGTTTCGGCCTCGCCGGGTCGGACGGGCTACGCCTTGGCTTGGTGGGCGCTCTTTCTCGAAATGCTTGCCGCTTGGTCGCGTTGCTCTTGGTGGCAAAGCGCGCAAATCGACGTCGCCATAGTCGCCGCGATGCTTCCGAGCTGCACTTTTGCGGCTCCGCCGGGTCGGGCGCCCCCGAGCCCCCTCGGCCGCACCTTGCTTCCCGCTCGATCGTCCAGGACCGGCCCGGCGCCCGTAATTGACGAATCCCGCGGATTGGCAGAGGCACGCACCAGGCACGAGGGATGTGTTGCGGATGCCTGTGCAGGGACGTCGCGGACGTGGACGCCGGCGGCGTGGCCGCGACTTCGGCGGCGAATTTTGGCGGCCCCGCGGCGCTGGATGCCCAGACTCTCGAGGAGATGGAGCGCGACGAGGAGCGCAAGGCCCGCAACAGGGAGCTAAACCGCGAGTTTAGGGACCGGCAGAAGAAAAAGATGGCCGACCTGGAGGACCAGTGCAGGACGCTGCGGGATAAGGTGGGACGGGAGGGGGGGCCGGGGGGGGCGATTATCGCGGGTGCGATCGACCGTTGACTTGGGGGCGCTATCGCGCGGCTCGGCCGCATCGCCGCGGCCTGCGGCATTCGTTTGTGGTGGCGGTTTGGCGTCACGCGCTGACGACGCGGATTGGGCGGGGGTATCCAAGGGGGGAGCCTGCGGGTCGGTCAGGTGGCCCGTTGTCCAAGGATGGATGACTGGGCGTTGGGCTGTGAAGTGTTGGAAACTACGGAGGCCGGGCGGGGGCGGGGGGCATTATCAGCTCGGCTTCGCGCTGGCCCTCCGTGATGATGCATTGACCTCTGGGCTCGGTTTGGCGATGGCGCGGACGGGAGTTGAGACGGGGCTGCTGCGGGCGGACGTGGGGCGCGTGGAACGCGGCCGAGAATTTGGGCTGCGGTGACTGGCTGTAATGTGTCCGACGCTGTCAAGGGCTGGCGGGTTGAGTAATTGATGGTCCAGCCCCCCTGGGGATGTTGCGCACGTGATCGGACGTCACAAGTTTGCGGTGTCCGAGGCCCCGCGTTGTTTTGGGTGCGGATCCAAGGTGTTGCCGCTTGGAGGATTCGCTGCTTTAGCCAGCGGCTTGATAACTCCCGTGCAGTCCTAGGAACTTCAAGCCCTGGTGTCCAAGGCGCTACAAGGCTACCCGGCAAGTTGTTGTCGGGTTGTTGGGTTCCACTTTCGAGAAACTTACGGTTGCGTCGCCAACAGTGTGGAGACATCTCGCCGATGCCATGTTCAGTGCGACTGGAGAGGAGAGCATGAAACGGAAATCGGCGAGCCGCAAGTGGTTCTAGTTCGGATGCGCAAGGGAGTAGCAATTGGGAACGCCAATGGGCAACTGAAATTTCGCCCTGCACAGTGAGACACGTTCGTGTGCAGAACGCCTACCAATGGCGAAATACGGTGCAAGAAGCAAGCACGAAAAGCATGTACTACATGTAGTACGATAAATATTTAACACACAAATAGTCGTATTACCAACTTATTAAGTTGGCACAACTTCAGGATTTGATGCCGTTATTGCACAGTTACGGCTATTCACTCAGAATGTACAGCAATGTGACGTTATTTACACATTGTTTGTACATGTGAGCTGCGCGAAATGGTCGATGTTTTGGCTGCATAAATAGGCTGTTCTAAGCATAAATGCTGGGGGCGAATTCTTGCCAGCTGAAGTTCAGCGATAGCATCAGCACTCGGCCAACATCCCATTGTTGGGCAGTCAAAACCCCTTTTGGGAGTGTCGACCGCGCTCGCGTCCTTTCTATTGCCTTTGTATCCTTTCCATTTGCCGTTCCTCTCCGTTTACAGGCTCGAGAAATGGAAGATAGGAATCAGAAGCTTAGGGTGGAGAATGACGTCCTCAAGCTCTGGGCGGAGCACCAACAAAAGCAGAAGGCCGAATCGAAGAGTGAGCCAAAAGACTCTGAGTAGCCCGTCTCTGAGGCCTCTCGCGAGGTATGGATTAATTTTCCAGCGGTGCCGTTCCTGGTTTCATTGGGATATGAGAAAAGGAGCAACACATTCCAAAGACAAAATGGAGAAATTCATTTGAACTGCACAATGCAATGTTCTGTGGCCGAACGTTGACTGTATATCCATTTCAATTCATTACATCGGTGAATGGTTTCTGCTTTAAATGCACAAGGTTCGTTATACAATATGCGCCTTCGACATCAATTAA